GCGGGCGAGCGGCTGCAGGGACCCGCCACAGACCGCCTCGCCTCGCTCAAGCAAGCCTTCCGCTCGCAGTATAACCAGGTGTGATACACTTATATACACTTACTTGCACATATATACACTTGTGTACACTATACTTGTGGCTACAACGTACGAGTACTTACATTTTTATATGTACGTACATTTATCTTGCATATACTTTTAGACGTTAAATTGAAGTATATAACTAGCATAAGTAATAAAATATTAATGTTTTTAATATGATCCAGTTCACTGCGTCAACTGACCACTCGTGGGAACAGACGCTTACATCTATCCAGCCCGGAGTGAACGCGCCCGCCGCAGAGACTGCGCCTGCGCAGCCTGAATCCAAAGCTGAGAGAGTCAGGAAGAGTGGCAAGAGGAGTCGGTGGGAGTAGACAGGAGAGAGGGGACTGCACAGAAAGGCTACTTATTGATTACTACTGATTGTTTAGTTGTGTTGGAAATAATGTGTCAATGATCTAATAAACATTTAGACGGATGTTAGGAACAATAGGAGAAATGTTTACATTAAAAATAAATCGTAAATGATTTGAAATTGAAGGTAATTAATAATAAAGAGGGTAGATAGAAAGGTCTTTGTGACGGATTGGTTTTACAATTTAATGGTTGTATAGTGCCTCGCTCTTTAAAATGTACGAAATTGTAATATTAAAAAAAATTAGTTTGATTATCACTTATTATGGACTCTTTGGACTTTACTAGAAGTATTTCTTATTATTAGATGTGCGTTTTTATTACCTTTTTTTATTATAATCGTCTAATTTATAGCAAAGAGTATCAGATTTTTTTTATCTGTGTTCGTGCAGTGAAAACCCTTTTGTCGCTACAAAATAATTTGTAATGTAAATATATAGGATTTATTATAAGAATATATTCGTGTAACCGTGGGTTTCTTAGCACAAAATCTCTGTTTTGTCAAAAATGACGGGAATGACGATATGTTTAGAGATTTTGGTCTCGGAAAGCAACGGTAAGTTTGTTTTGTATACAGCAGTGTACGTGTCTTGCTGTCGCGTTGTTTCAATCAACGTATTTTATCGACATTAAGTGTTAATTTTGAGCATTATGTAAATATAAATAAAGTTACTATTTTGCATTTTCAGTTTTTTTTTTCAATATAATAAATGCAAATTATATAATTTTAATACCGACATAGAAAACTCGATAAAGTTATATTTGGATGAGAATCCTTGAGCCGTAAGTATTTTTTTTAATTTCAATAAACAGATAACGAAAGGAAGAAATAAAAACTTTTCAACGATTTTATGACAAAAAAAATGTAGATCTTAGTGCAAATATTTTTTATGTATCCCTTTTTTATTAGATGTAATTTGTAGCAAAGAATATTGAGTTTAACTGAATTATATCATACTCAACTATAAGAGTATATATGTTTTATACAAGTTTTTAGACAATGGAAACACAAAGTACAACAGCTGCAGTACTCGTATTAATTCTGTGCGGCGTAGTT